TGTGGAGAGGAGAGGCCTGGCTGTCCCTCCTCACCACCTGGCAAGAGAGGGTGCCTATGGCCAAGGCGCTCTTATAGGTCACATGGAACTGCCCAGGAGTGTATCCTGCTCCTCGACAGGAAACAGGAAAGAACCTCCTGCCATCTCTGGCTTGACTCCGGCGGGCTAGGAATCCTGCTCATTGAAAGCAGACGCCAGTAACAGTCACAATTCCTGACCAGTTAGATTAGCCATCCCTTCTTCCTCAGGGAGGGCCAGGTAAAGAGGAGTTGTTTTGTAACAAAATGTCTGAGACAATCCACTTAAAAAGAGGAAAGGTTTATTCTGGCTCAGATTTAGTGGTTTCAATCCATGGTTACTTGGCCTGTTGCTTTTGGGTCTGTGGCGAGGCAGAACATCATGGCAGGATTGTGTGGTGGAGGAAGCTGGCTTCATGTTGGCCAGGAAGCAAAAAAGAGTAAGCCAGAGTCCCATATTTCCCTTCAAGGGTACATCTCCAGTGACTGAAAATCTCCCACTAGGCCTCACCTCTTAAAGGATCCACCACCTTCTAAAGCACCAAGCTGAGGACCAAGCCTCTTTAACACATAGGCCTTTGGGGGCCCAAATCCACACTGTGGCAGGTGTGGAGTGGTGTGAGTGGGTGATCCCTTCCATTGGGGATGAGATGGAATAGAAAAGTCAGGTCTATAAGTACAGGGACAGAAAAGCACAGGTGTGCTCCCTCGCCTTGGAGTCAGGGAGCAGCGCCCTGGCCAGCCAGGCACAATGCAGGAACCCTCACCAGTCGTGGCATGTTCAGAGGGTCTCAATGAGGCTCTAAACCAAGGTCACTGAACCATTACTTGGGAGATTGGTTTTCAGCACATTAATTATGAAATTGTGGAACTGTTTGCAGACACTTCCCTGAAAGTCCATTTTATAAAACAGAAAAAACTGGAGCCAGTGTAGATAAAACAGTGCTCTAGAGATCTATAGTCTCACTCACTGCCTGTCCTTACCCTCTGAGGAGTTCAAGGTGAAACCTCCTGGGGCTCTCGGCATCCTGCTCTCTTCTCCAGCTGACACTGAGCCCCAAAGAATTCACTTAAGCATCCCAAACCTCAGTGTCCTTATCCAGCAAGTGGAGGCCAGACTAGATCAGAGTAGTCTTCACTCAGTTCCTCTGGACAGGGGTTTCAGAGGTCTTTGACATCTTGAGGTGTGCAGTATTTTTGTGGATTTTTGTTTTGCCTGAGAGATGGGACAGTTTATTTTTTATTTTTATTTTTTTGAAAAGCCATGTACACTCAAACATGAAGCATGAGCACCGTGTTGAGTTTTGAGGTCCCTGCGTGTTTCTGTTATTCCTATTGTAAGTGACAGTATCTCCCAGCTTAAACTGCAAAGGGAAGTTAATGGCTCAGGGACCTGAAAATCCCGAAACTGCTGTAAATGGAGTCACCACTCAGGTATTCTCATCAGGACTTTGCCGCTGGGAAGCCCTCAGCTCCCTGCCTTCCATCTCATCTCTCTCACCCAGTAATCACAGCAAAATTTCCAGGACCAGCTCTGATTGGCCCTGCTTGGCCCAGTTACCTTTCCCAGAGCCAATCCCTGTGGCCCAAGGGAGGAAACATGTGGCCTAGGAGCCAGGCCAGGAGACTTCCTCATGCCCATTCTTTTTCTGGGATTCTGTTCATGGTATAAACCAGTGGAAAGTGAAGTGCTTGGTCTGTGGGTGTAACGTGTGTGACAGATGAGCCACAGCCATGACCATGCTGGGATTGCCAAGACAACTCCAAGGGCATCCTCCCTTCCCAGTAGTCTCAGGTGAGGTTCTGGAATAGCAGGTCCTGGCCGGACTCTTGGCCTGAGCCCTCCTTTCCACAACCAAGCATTTTCTTTTCCTGTGGGAGGGATCCCTGACTGATGGGTCTCCACAGCCTCCTGCAGGAGGCAGTTCCCGGCCGAAGAGAAGGCACCGTTGACATTACTGCTGATCTGCCTTTACAGAGCCATGTGTATTGCATTAGAGAAAGGGAGAGAAATTAGAGATGCAGAAAAGCAATTTCCGTTGCAATTTTAAAAGCAGCTATTAAAATTTTACAAGAGGTTTATTACAGGGGCTTCCTGATCATCCCAGGAATTTTTTTAATGGAAAGTCTTGTGATAAAGGAAAATGTTCTGGGTGCTTCTGGTTCCCCCTTGCCCTGCCAAACATTTTGAAAATCAAAATTTTTAGGACTTCATACACCAGCTGAGGGACAGCAACTGCTCAAGAGGCTATTTTTGAGTTTTTTACAAGTGTGTGTTTTTCTGTATTTGCTGTTTCTATGTATAGTGACTATTTTTTAATTTTTTATTTTTACTTTCCCAAAGGCCTGGTGGTGAGTCGTGGGAATCATTGAGAATGGCGGTTGCCTCAGCCCTTCTATGTTAGTTCAGAATCGTTTGGTTGTATGAACAAATAGAAATTCAGGTCAGCCTGCTTTTGTATAAAAGGAAATGTTTGGACTCAGTAGCCTGGGAGAGTCTTATACAGGCTTCAGGAATGGTGGGATCCAGGGCTTCCAGTGCGATTGCCAGGATCCTTTTCCTTCTACCTCTGGGCTCAGCTTTCCTCTGTGTTGGTTTACTCTCAGGCAGGCTCTGAGTCACCAACATAAGTAGGTCTAACCAGCTTCAGAGGCTCAGGGAAAATAAGCCATCTTTCTTTCCTGTAGTCCCAACGCTGTCCTGGGGTACGTGTTTATTGGCTCTGATCATTTTTGCACCCATGCCAGAAACAGGGAAAGTGATACAGTGGCTTTATTACCAGTCCAGGTGAGTCCCACCTCCACCCCCAACCACATAAGAAATGCCAAGAATGAGAAAAGAGGAGATTCAGAGAGCTGACCCTGGGAGGGAAATGGTGCAGGATGGGCGGAAACAGCCAGCACTTAGGACCTTTCCCATACCAACTTCATGAGGCTGAATCTGCCCCACACTCCCAAGTTTTTGTCTCCTCTTGGAACCTGCTCCATCTTTACCTTGTTCCAAGTTGAGTGTAGGGTTTTGTGTGTGCGTGCGGTGCCGGGGATGAATCCAGGGCCTTGTGCATGATAGACAAGCACTACTGCTACTGAGCTCCAGCCCCAGCCCTAGTTAGGAGGTTCTTGATCTTGGGTGTATGGACTCAAGAAGTGAAGAGGATCATGAAGTTGGCTGGGAAAAAACATCACGTCTCTGTTTTCTTTACCATGTCACTGAAATCTAGCATTTCCTTATGAACGAGAGCAACAAACCACAATTGTTAGCAACACCTGTGACTTTGTCACACTGGAAGCCACATATATTTTCATATGACATTACAGTAATTGCAAGTATCATAAAATGTCACACTCGTTTTTCTGAATCACTGAAGTTATTGTACCCACCACTAGATCTCATAATTTGAAGCGTTGATCAAGAAGCATGGATAGGACCATGTCTCAGATTTGGTTTTGTTTTAAGAGGACTTGATTGGAATTGGTTTCCTTTGTACTCTTGGTATTGTACCCTTCTTCACCAGTCTGCCAACAAGAGTCCCTGTCATAAGAAAGGTTTAAGAACCCCTGTGAGCTTCTCTAGGACCCCATTCTCCAGGAGAGGGATTTTTAAAGAGGTCCTGACTCCTTTGGAGCAGCTGCTCGTTGGGTTTCCTTTCAGGGAGGCTTTCTGGAGGCAGTGGCGTGGTCTGGTTTGGGTGGTGAGGCAGGGAGGCATCGCCAGCCTGTGGTTAGCCCTCCTTCGCTGCCAGAACAGAACGTGGGCCAGCCTGGGGGTCTGGAGCAGGCCCTGGAGTAGGGCTGCCTAGGTTCATGCCCAGTGACATAATCAACTTTAGTTACTGACAGGGCAGCCTCCACCAGTGGGTTTCTTCCTCTATGTCTCAGTTTTCTCATCTGTTACCATGGCAGGATTACTCGTTTACCCCTTGGGGCACTGGGAGAGTGAAGTGAGTCAGCACAGGACAGAACCAGCACAAAGGGAGTAAGGGTCATTACCAAGTGGCCATTTCATATAGGGTGGCTCTGGGTTGTTTTAGATCTCATCTTCCTGACTTAGGGCCTGTCCTGTGCTGGTACCTGGAATGTGATGGAGAACAATACCAACCATGGCTCCTCAGCCTGGAGACATTCATTTTTTATGAAGTATCCATTCAAATATGAGCAAGTGAGGAAGTGAGGTAGCATGGGAACACACCTGCAGTCTCAGTGACGGGGAGGCTGAGGCAGGAGTCTTGCAAGTTCAAGGCCAGCATGGGCAACGTAGTGAGACCCTGTCTCAAAAAATAAAAAGGACTGGGGACGTAACTTAGAGGTAGAACACCCCTGGGTTCAAGTCCAGTACCAATAATAATAATAATAATAATAATAATAATGGTGTGTGTATTTTAACCATATTAAATATTCAGACATAAATTTATAATATAAAGTTGTAAGTCAGGACAAGAGCTATTTCTTTGTCATTCCTCTGCTCACAGTTGTCTAACGGAAATGTCCTTTATGATGGTCCTCCATCTGTCTGCCCTCATTTCTCACCACTTGCCCTCACTCAACTGGCACCAGCCACTCTGACCTCCTGGCTGCTCTGGAAGTGTTCCACACCGGCTCCTGCCTCAGGGCCTCTGTACTGGCTATTTTTGTGTCCAGGAGGCTCTTTCTCAAATAGTCAACCTTACTCACCTGTTCAGGTAACTAGCCTCTCCCCATAGAGACCTTCCCTAAGCGCCCCATGTGAAATAGCAGCCCTGTCACTCTCGCCCCCAACCTTGTATTGTGGGTTTGTTTATTGTCTTCCTTGCCACTAGAAGGTCTGGTCCCTGGGGAGAGCAGTTTATCTTGGCCCTGGTGCATTCTCGGTGACTGGCACATAGCAGGAGTTCAGTAAACATTTGTTATGGGAGTCAATATGTGAATGACAGGTGGGTACTATAGCAGGATGACTGAGTTAAGTCAAAGAAATCAGCTCTTTTTTTCCTTCTCTGCGTAGATGCACAGTCTTTGAAGTTGGCTCTCCTGGGACCCTCAAGGCACACTAGTCTCCAGAACATACTAAGGGTGAGTACAGTGTGGCTGTTCATTTGTTTAAATTTTATAATGAGCGTATCTAAACATGTTTATTAAAGGGTATCAAAGGAAAAATGGAAGTGATCTTCATTGTCTTTCCATCACGCGGGAGCCCAGCATTCCCCTTAGAGTGGTTACAGTTGGCTCTCCAGTGGGTGTCCTGCCAATCTTTTTCCCATACAGGAACAATCCTACTTACGAATATATACATTTTTTAAAATTTTAGTTTGCTGTGTAAGAAAAAGGAACTGTGGGGCTGGGGATGTGGCTCAAGCGGTAGCGCGCTCGCCTGGCATGCGTGCGGCCCGGGTTCGATCCTCAGCACCACATACAAACAAAGATGTTGTGCCTGCCGAAAACTAAAAAATAAATAAATAAATAAATATTTAAAAAAAAAGAAAAAGGAACTGTGCTATATTGATGCTTCTGGAGCATGCTTTCCCCGTCCTCGACAGCAGTGTGTCTTGGAGGTCTTCATAAGCATAAATCAATGTATTGCACTGCTTTTTCTTTGTTTATTTGTTTGTTTTATTAATTTGAAATTTTACATGGAGTAAAACTCAGTCTCTGGTATACGGTTCTTTGAGTTTAGACAAAGGTATTCAGTTGTGAAACTGCTACTATAGTCAATACAGAACCAGGCCCCGTGGTGCCAGAGGCTGAGGCAGGGAGGATTACAAGTTCAAGGCTAGCCTCAGCCATTTAGTAAGACCCTCAGTAACTTAGCAAGACCCTGTCTCAAAATAAAAAGAATGAAGGTATAGCTCAGTGGTAGAGTGCCCCTAGGTTCAACCCCCAGTACCCAGAAATAAAAAGAGAATGGCCACATCACCCCACTGTGTAAGTGTACTGTTTTCTCTGTAGGTCAAAAATATAATGCAGGTCTTTGCATATAATTAAAATATAAACAGATGGCAAATACCTACCTGTATCTATGGATTTTGAATAGGCTATATTTAGGTTTCTGGGTTTTGGTTTTTTGCTAGTGAACATTCTCCTTTCTCATATCTGTGAGATGGAATCTAAGCAGTGGAGGAGGTCTCGGGCTGTGTGTTATTCCAGCATGGGAGGCATTCCTAAATGAGGATGTCAACCTTTGTTGGCAAGGTGCTTGGTGGGGGTGTTTGATCTTTGAGGGACCAAGAGACCCTAACAACATGGAAGAAGATTCTGGCAGGCAGACTCTGGGCACAGAGTGGTTGGCTGAGCTGCAGAGACCAGTCATGCAAGCTGTGGAAACTGCGTGAATCCACGTGGACTGTCTCTTGGCTGTTCACCGGGTCTCGTCATATTCCTTTGTCCTGCCAGAGCTCTTCCTGGATACCTGGAGTTTATCGTGGGACAATGTGTAGGGGCCAGGTTTCCATCAAAGGATGCTTCTTACCGTAATTTTTATTAGCTCTTATTTTTTATGTTATTTTATCTTTTGCAGTATTAGGATTTGAACCCAGGGACATTGTATCAGTGAGCCATATCCCCAGCTCTCTTTTATTTTGTATTTTGAAACAGGGTCTGGCCAAGTTGTGCAGGCTGGCCTTGAACCTGCAGCCTCCTGAGTAGCTGGGATTATAGCCTTGTGCCACTGCAAGTGGCTAGCTCTCTAATTTTTAAAAAGTTTTTGAATTACAGAAAAGTTCAAAAATGCTATCTACCGTTTCACTAGCTTCCTCTGATGTTCCCATCCTATTCTACTGAAGCGCAATGATCAAAACCAAGAAATTAGCCCTGGTCCAGTATTTTTAATCTGATTACTTAATAATCAGATTTTACCAGTCTTTCTACTGTTGCCCCTTTTTTGTTCCAAGATCTTATGCTGCATTCAGTTGTCACGTCACCTTAATCTCCTCCAATCTGTAACAGTCCCTTCATGACCTTGCACTTTGGATCATTTGGTTAAGGTGGGTTCTGCCAGGTGTCTCCACTGTCAAGCCACTCTTTCTCTTTATAACTAATAGATACATTGGGGGAGATACTTTGAGACTGTGTTATGTCCTGCATCTTAAACTTCCATTGGTGGATGGATCTTTCCTGCAACAGTAATTACTGAAGTGTCTCCCTAAGGGTGATTTTGTGTATCGTCCCATCTCTGTGTATTAACTGGAATTCTATAAGGAAGACAGTTATTTCTTTACATTTCTTTATTCAGTTATTAATTTATATTGTATGGACTCAGGCTTTAATCTAGCACGTTCCTTTTTAATGTGGTAGAAGGTTCCAAATTTCAAGTGAATTCCTAGCATTGCCTCTTAAACATTCTGTAGGAATGAAACAGACAAAATCTTTTCCCTGAGTGAGCTGAGATTTTACTGCAGGACAAAACAGTCCAGAAATAAGACATGAGTATAGAATGAGTGTGATGGGATAAGTGCTGCAGAAGTGCAGAGGACAGGGCTGGGGATGTAGCTTAGTGGGTAGAGCGCTTGCCTAAAATGCGCAAGGCCCTGGGTTCAATCCCCAGCACCACAAAAAAATAAAATAAAGTGCAGGGAAAGGTGTCAGGGGAATTTAGACAAGGTGGTCAGGGAAGGCTCTCAGAGGGGACCCCGACTGAGGCAGTACCAGCTGGGAGATGTCGGACAAATCACCCCACTTATGAACAGGGCTTTAGGAATTGTCCCTGCTCAGTATATAGCTAAATGTAACCCTGTGGAAATGCCAGGTATGTCCAGATCTTATATTCTTTTCCCCATAAAGGAGAAAAATGAGGAATTTTTGCTGGTGCATTGAACCCAAATTGCTGTGTCAGGTCAATTTCATGGTACATGAATGAATCTGGACCCAGCATGATGAATGTGAGCTTAGTCTGCTGCTCTGGGCATGGCCTCTGTGACCTCAGCTGAATCAAACATCAAGACATGGAAACACCAGGCAAATCCAAATGTATCATTTTCATTTCATTTTTTTAAAGTTACTTTTTCTTGTAGCAAAAGATAGCAATTTTCCATTTTTAGTGGCCATAAAGATTCCTTAAAGGTGAGTTGATTTATAGAGATTATTTAGTAATAGTTGCCCAGGTGGAGTACATTGTATTGGCCCAGCCTTCTGCTCTTCTTCCTGTAGACCAGGGGTTCCCAACTGGAGGCCTGAACTGAGGTTGGCAAACAATGACCATGGGATTGATTTCTCTCCCAGAGCAGCAAACCTGGTGGTTCCTGACTGCCAGCATGAGTTTGGTGGCTGAGTAGTGTCTGTAGATTCTCTTGGCCTTTCCCCTGTGGTTGCAGGGTTGCTGCTGTAGCTGCAGACAGGGAAGGATTGATTCCCATGCCAGGTCTCCATTCTGGACTGCTTAAATACTCTCCAAATCCCCCCAGAAGATTCCACTTCCATCTCATTGGCCAGAAATGTGTGACATAGCCTCCTCTTCTCCAAGGAAGGTGAGAAAGTCCATTCAACTCTCAGCCTTTTCTGAGGAGGCAGCCCGAGAAAAGGGGGAACTGAGTGTCGGATGGGTTGGCCAGCCAAGTGCCTGGTCCCTCAAGGGAAGAAGAGTGATAATAATTGACATTAAGGGGTGCTGACTTTGTGCCAAGCCCTGCTGGAAGCACTTTACATGATGATCTCAGTCCTTACAACCACTTTGTGACGTCACTGCTGTGATATCCATCCCCAGAATAATGACAAGGAAACTGAGGCAGAGAGTGGTGAAGCCACTTGCTGCAGAAAGGACCTGGGGTGGGAACACTTGAGCTGTCTTCAGGACCCTCAGCCACTACCCTGTGTTGCTTCATGAGAGATCCAGGGGTCCCAGTCCACTCTTTGGCCTCCATTTAAATTCTTTCATCCGGAAAAACAAGGTAGGGTATCTTGCTTTGGGGGAAGTTGTGATCATTGACATACCTTCTTGTGACTCACTTCCATCTGTGTGTAACTGTCTCCCTCTGGTCCTGGTCCAGTCCTGACCTTCCTCTTATAATCAGTACCTGTGCTTTTAATGATTCTCCCCAGAATGGGGCTTCCAGCCTTGGTGACTTTCTCTGAAGCTCCGCTGACTGGTTCAACGCACATTTAATGAACACCTTTTCTGTGCTTGCCCCTGAGGTGTCGTGGCGACGCAGGAGTAGCTGGGGTAGTCTTGTGGCTGGATAGCCTGCCCTCCTAGGTTCTTCAGCCAGTGAGGGAGGCAGCCCTCATAGACAGTAGTAGACCAGAGTGGTCACTGCTGTAGTGGGCAAGCCCAGGAGTCTGTGGGTCTGCAGTGGAAGGGTCCAACCTAGCCTCGGGGTAGGAGGTGGGGGGCTCCTTGAAACAGCTTTTTGGGCCATCGAGGAAGAATAGGGATTTATCATGGAGCACTTCCTCCCTTCTTACCCCCTCCCCCTTTTCAGTGAAACTCTTTTCACTCAGTTTGCCTGTCTGAATTTGTGTTGTCTTCTCCGCAAAATGAAAGGTTTGAACTTAGGTTTTCATCCATCCATCTAAGCAGTCAACCAGCAGTGACTGGGCATTTCCCACGTGCCTGGTCCTGTACCGGGCATGGGCCTCCTGGGTCCAGGGTGTTGGCAGAGCCCTGCAGGTGAACAGCCAGATGATGAGCATCCTCACCCGGAAACCACAGGGCCGCAAGAACCCAGATCAGATACTGAGCCTTCACTCGGGGTTTTAGGAAAAGTTTCTCGAAGGAGAAGTTTAAAAAATGAGTTGAGGGCTGGGATTATGGCTCAGCGGTAGAGCGCTCGCCTAGCACAGATGGAATCCGGGTTCCATCCTCAGCACCACATGAAAATAAAGGCGCATTGTGTTGTGTCCATCTACACCTAAAAAATAAATATTAAAAAAAAAAACAAAAAACGAGTTGACATGGTGGCCAAGAGCATGGGCTTCTGTTATCCACTAAGGTTGTTTTGAGGATTAAAATGTGCTTGTGAATTTCAAGTACTTTGTGCCACGGTAGTGCAGGATAGTGAATGGAAGCGCCAGGATAGTGCAGGACAGCTCATTGATCAGTCCCTGCTGTGCGTCAGGGCTGAGGCAGCTTAGTGGCCAGCCTG